GGCAAAAACGAGTGGGTGATTTTTGGTAGCTCATCGTTGGAAGATTTCTTCACTTGATTTCACGTAGCGCATTATGGATTTTTGTTATTTTTCGCGCATTAAAGCCTTCATCAGTGGTTGATAATATTCCCTGCAACTTCATTTCTGGTGACCCGATCCTTGGTTATCTATTTACTCTATAATTTTAGAGAAGTTACCATGCCATTGGCTGCATACTGCGGGCAGAATCGTACGCTGATGGTTTCGTGTGCCAGGAGAAATGGTAAAATTACCGGCGTCGACGTTTTGTTCCAAACGCAGAGTTGGTTCTTTTTTAGCTTGATCCTGTTTCTGCTTTTGTGGATCGTAGGCAGTTGTTATCTGTGATATTTTCCAGATGGAAACGCTGCCTCACGAATCAGCGGCGAGCTAGAGATAGTGGAAGTCTCAAGAACGATATCGTTTGGAGATTCTGTTGCCGTGAGTTTACTAATTAACATATACGATTGATATGAACTTGAGATACGCTCTATGAGTATATTTGCAGAAAGTGTTATCGGCGCTAGGAGCTCCTTCGAAAGTGTTTTACAAGTCAGAAGACAAAATGTCTATACATCGTGGAGGATGCAAAGAGACACTTAGCCCTCAGCCACACTTCTTTTTCAACTACTTCTCCATGGGTCTGGTCAGTTTGCAGATTTTTAAGTCTTTTTGCACTTTTGTGTGAACTCTTTCAGATCTTTTGTTCATCTGTTACAAACTTGTTCTTTGCTTCCCTCTTTGAGAATTTTTCTTCCAATTGCTTTAATCACTTGCCATTCCTCTTTCACCATAGTGTTCCATTCTCTCTTATTACTAGTCTTTGAGAACGGTCACAAGCGCTGCGCTTCTTTCTTTGAATACTTGGCTGGTCAAAGTTTCAAAGTTGGGTCATTGGAGCATTTCTGTATCTTGGCAAATAGCATACATCAGTGCTTGGGGCCAGGGTACGCAGATCAGTCTTTGTAGGTTTTCCGATTTTACCTAAAGTGCGGTTATGCATACAATGAGGATGGAACCGTGGGCATTTGCACAGTCATAAAACCACTCTCGGAGTCGTTCTTCCAGCTTTCTTATCTGAAATTGATTCCTCAAATCTTGATCATATCCGACTTTCTCATTTTGATGCAATAGGCTTGGCATACTTTGGAACACCAATTTTTTCTGTTATTTCTGTTAATCTTGCAGCTGCCGGTGCATATGGCACAGACGCATCCTTGAGTATAAGACTAGGATGTTATGTCGAATTCAGTGTGCATCATCGCTGTACCAGTGTGAAACAGGTTGAATTGTATGTAATCGCATCCTTCTGATTATTCTCCAAGACCTCGAGGCATTGCAGTTTGAGTGGTAGTGCGGAACACAACTAACGCAAAAAATTGACTCGGTACTGAGGTTAAAGGGGAGAGTCGATGGAATTGACTTTTGATATCAATGCATAGGCTTATCTTTTGGGAAAAAGACCTTCTCGTCCTCTCCTTTATTCCCGTAAACTTTTTTTTTCAACTTTTTTTTTTCAACTTTTTCAACTTTTCAAGAACCTCTATGTCTCGAAAGTAAGAGCC